TCAGATTAAATCTATACTGGATCCAACTATGCAATGTCTCCACTATGCCGTGACCCCACTGTGCTACCGTTTTTTTTTTTACTTAAAATTCCTATAACTTTTTCAAAAGTGAACAAATCAATATACATTCTTTTTTATAGATGCATGATGTCTTTACCTACCATTTGATGTATTTTTTTTTGTAAATTTAACCCTTTACCTGCTCACAGGGAGAGATTCAAAACGACAACTTTTTCAAAAAAAATAAACTTTTTCAACTTAACTTTTGAAAGTGTTCCAAAAAATCTGACACTTTTATATATATCTTAAATTAAAGCTAATGTAATATACTTTATTATGGAAAAAAAAAAATTCGGATTCTTCACGATGAAATTGGTTAACAAAAGCTATTTTTGTGTGAAAACTCTCGATTATATTTTTAAAATTTTTAACTTTATAATAATATAACTTATTGGAAAGTTTATGGATCAACATTATTTTTTTATGAGGAATAATATTTATATCCCTTTTTCTTTCGACATTTTTTATATTAATAAGGATATAAATAGGAAATAAGAGATCATGTAACTTTAGGAATAATCCACCAATTTTTTAAAATTAAACACTATCAAAAGATTTGTATCGAAGCGTTTTTTATGATAGTGATTTTAATCACTGTCAGATATCATTATACGTGATTCAACTATGCCACATCCCCACTGTGTCGCTGTTCTGGGTTTTTTTATATTTCTTTTATTTTATGGCGCTATATATATTTAACTAACTTTTAAAATATAAATTTAGAAAATGTCTTATCCAACTTTTACATTATTATTTTGGAAGTTATTACAATTTTAAATTTTAAATTATTAACATATTTATACCTATGCGTAAGGAGGTCTATAAATGTCTAATGACATATGTTTGAGAGTTATTCACAATTATTTTAAATTAAATTTAGAGAAGATTAAATAAATAAAAAAGTAAATTTAAATTTCTTAAATAATAATTCACAACTTGATTGAAGTATCTGGTAATTCCTGAAGAAAATTTCTTAAAAATTTCCTCAGTATTAAATTTCTGGGAATTTTATAATACTGTGTAATTTATAATATAATAAACTTGTTTTTATTATCTCATACAAAAAAATATTTAAATATTAATTTTAAAATATTTTTTTTGTACATTTAAAAATAAAAAAAACCCAGCACAGGGGGGTCGCGGCACAGTGGTGACGTGGCATAGTTGGATCAAGTATAATGATATCTGACAGTGATTAAAATCACTATAAAAAAAAAAAGCTTCAATGCAAATCTTTAGATAGTGTTTAATTTTATCAAACTTTAACTTTATCAAATTATAAACAATTTTGATATAGGTTTATAGTAGATAATTTCATGTTTGTCACCTTTTTCATGAATTGGTATCACAAATGATTTTGCAATTGATTTTAAATTAATATGCCATACAAAAAGCGAGATAAATATATTTTTTTTAATTGTGAGATTTTTTTACTTTTTACTAACTACTAACTTTTTTTACTACATTTTTCTAACTAAACCTATCGTGACAATTTTTTTAACTATTATAATAGTGCAATTGAAAAGCTTTAATTGAAAATTGTCAAATATTTCGGAAAATTTTTAAACTTTTAATAAAAAACAGAATGCATTTATTGCATTGGTTATCACATTCAAACTCTTTCTGTACTAAGGTTTTAGATTAGATTTACCTAAAAAGCAGACCAAAATGAAGATTATTAATATAATAATAATTTATAATTTATTTTTATAATTATTGTCTTTTTTATTTCAAATTAAAATTTCATTAAAATCCATGAATTTAAAACAAGTGATAGTAATTTTAAGATATAAAAAAATTCTGAATTCGAATTTTTTATGGTTGTATAAATTTGAATTATTTTTTTAATTTTTAAAATTCAGGGGATTATTTTAATATTTGAAGCTGGTAAGTTAAGATAGATTAAATTTGGACTCTTTTGATATCCTGTGAGATCTGAATATTTTTATGAATAGAAAAAAAAACAAATCATGATAACATCCATACCTTTTCAGCTTCAAATCGAAGCTAATATATCTAAACTGCTATATTGTAAAATAGCTATAGTATATTAATTGATACTGTTTATTCGTGTATTATTTATTTGCAATAAATATACCCAAACTTTATCAAATTATAAACAATTTTGATATAGGTTTATAGTAGATAATTTCATGATTGTCACCTTTTTCATGAATTGGTATCACAAATGATTTTTTTTAATCATCAGGAAAGTAGCTTAAATTTAAGAATTTATCA